TTTTTATTTTGGGTTAATATATTTTTTCGGTTCTAAATTTTCAATTTTGTTCTTCTTTATATCTTCTATTTATTTGATTGGACTATTTTTTCATTTATTTCAAGCATGTTTATAATTGCTTGATAAAGGATTTTTTGCAATACCTACTTTAAAATATTTGCCAGATAATTCTAACATCTCTATCATCCAGTTATCTGTTGGCTCCCATTGATTTTGTTTTTTCACTTAGTTTCAGAACCTCATTCTTATTGATATGAGTAATTTTAAATTGAAACGTGGACATTTGGGGTATTATGTTATGAAAGTCTAAAGGCTAGATGTCTAAATTCCCAGTGTGGTCTCTACTCACGCTGGAGAGGAAGACTTTCTCTTTCCTGGCAGGATTGGAAGTCCAGACTTCTCAGACCCCACAGCCTGGCCAGCAGGAAAGTCTTGGCTCCCTGCCCCTGGCTGCTGTGGTTAAGAGGTGGGCTACATTTTTTCTATGGTATTCACTGAAGAAGAACTATCATTATCTTACAATTTTTTGTCTTGCTAGGCTGTCCTTTTCCTGGTCCTTTATCTGGAGAGAGCAAGCTTTTGTTGGGCCTTTTTTTTTTTTTTGTCTGTGTCCTTTTGCGTTTCTGGGTTGTGGACTTCTTTCGCTCAAGACTGGTATATATGTGACAAAAGAAAAATATTGAGTACTCATTCCCATATACTTCCTTAGGTCCCAAGATTCCTAGCCAACCTACTTTCTCACCTTTCAGATTCTTCCTATGTTTGTTACATATATAATATCCAGGGGTTTTAGTTGTACATAGAGGGGGAGTTATAGAAAAGTATATTTATTCCAGCTTCCTGGAAATAGAAGTATAAATGATAGAATTTTAGACACTATGGTTATTAACTTTCTATGACTATAATTGAATCATTTTAAATACTTACCAATAGACTTCAATTACCTCTTATCTATTAGCTTCTACATGAATTTCTGGGATATGCCATCATAATTCGGTTTATAGATTTTTTTTTAAGTATTTAAATCTGATTTACTTAGAGAGAGAACATATTTCCTTTCAGCCATATCTTAATGATATCAAGATAATATGTAATTCCCTATCAGGTGAATTAGAAGTGAACAAATCATATTAGATGTATCAAGGTGAAAAGATGGGTAAAAATAAGCAGATTTAGGCTTAGCTCTTATTTGAATGCCAATGGCTAACACAATTGGAATAGTTTGGGTTGTTCAAAGTAATAATTGTGTGTTTACCTAGTATAATATCACTGGTATCTTTCATTATTATTCTAGCCATCTTTAAAAAGGGAACTAAATAAAATGATTGTATTTTAATGCCAGGTCTCAGATCTACTATAACAACATAAGTCACTGTTCTCTGCTTTGGCACCATCATTTCCCTTCACATTGCCCGAACTCGACCGAACTGGGGCCATTTCCTCCTCCCTGGATAGTAATTTACACCTTCCCAAAGCTTTTCTGAGTTCTGCTTGGGAGATGTCCTCTCTTTCCCCTCTTAAAGCCCTTCCGTCTCTTCAGCTTTATCTCCGAAGTGCCAGTCTATACCTTACCCTGATAATGAATTGCCAGCTCTTGGGGGAGACAGCACTTTAATTCAGTTTTAAAGAATGAGTTAGAATTACTCAAAGGTGCAAGGCTGAACAGGGAGGGAGAGGAGGAGGAGGTGTAGGGCACTCACATGCTTTGTTGGCAGAATGGGTTAATGAGTTAAAGAACAGAGGAGGAAAACCACCCAACAGATTTTAGCAAACTACCAACAGCTTACTACTGGCATCGATTTTGAGACTAGCAGTGGTTGGAAATGAGGCTAGAAAGGGAGCTAAGTATAACATTAGGAAGGATTTGTATTCCATGAAAAATAGCATACTTTTTTAGTAACCACTTAGTAGACATTCAATTTTTTCATTCTTACATTTATCTTAATTTGCTTTAAATTACAATGACATGTATATCCTTGCTGCAAGATTGCCACTTCCTTTAAAATAGGATTGTATCTAAAACATTGGCTCTAACTGGGGGCAATTTTGCCCCTTAAGGGACATAATGGCAATTTCTGCTGACTTTTTTGCTGCTATTGTTAATCCCCACCCAAAGGTATTTTTTCATTGATCTTCAGAATGTGGGAGGGAGGGAAAGAGAGAAGAAAAAAAAAAAAACATCGATGTGATAGAGACACATAGATTGGTTTCCTCCTACTCATGTGCTGACCAGGATCAGGAATCAAACCTGCAACCCAGGTGTACGCCTTTGACCAGAATCAAACCTGCAACTCTTCAGTGTGGGGGCCACACTCTAACCACTGACCCACACCAGCCAGAGCACTGCAGACATTTCTGATTGTCCCAATTGTTAACTGCCTTGATTGTAGGATGTTACTAGCTAAATATCCTATGATGTAAACAATTCACAAAAAGAATTGTTTAACCCAAAATGTCAATGATGCTGAGGTTGAGAAACCCTGGCTTAATTCATCTTTGCAGTTCAGGTAGCAGTTAGCAGACTTGCGCGTTCTAGGAGGCATTCAGAGTTGTTAGAAATTATTTTAGGTAAGTTTTATAAATTGCTATGAAGGAATATAAATTACATTAGAAATTTATATGGTGTAGGAAAATTAGAAGATAACGGGTTTATGAATCTTGATCAATTTGAGGGAAACAAATTTTCATTTGCATTTAGAGGTGACCAATTTAAAAGCTAAAATTCTCTCAATCAGCAAGCTTTTGTGATGAAATACAGCAGGTTTTACTTTTCTATCAAAGGAGCTCCACTGATAGCTGAAGAATTCAACCAAATACAGTTAAAAGGTCTCTGGTGAGCAGAGGACAGTGCCTCCTGCATTTTGGTAGGGTCGTGCAGTTACTTACGTAGGATCTAGTAACATTGTAATGAAAAGGTTAAACTTTTGGCCCTGAATCTCAGAATTTATCACTGCTGTTTACCTACATTTTTATTCTCAAAGTAATGAAATGATCAGTAAGAATCAAAAGATAATTTGTGATTTTTGTAAAAACAAAATTTGCTTTATAGATCATGCAAGTAACAAGTATTTAAAACTGAAAATAAGAGACAAATTATTAATAAATCTGTAGCATTTAGCCATGGGTGGTAAGGGCTTCATGTGGAGGAAGGAGAGGAGCTATAGACATACCCAGGGCATTTAATCAAACCACTGCCACCTTACCTAGCCATAGTTATATCCAAGTACCAGTAACAGAGTATCCATGGGACCAGGTCACTCAATAATTAGAGTATTTTTATGGGCCCTGGTGGATGAAAGATTAAAAAGTGTTAGTATAATCTATTTTTTCAGTACCCTTGAAAATACCTAAATCACCATATGATTTTGTTTGGTCAAGTCAAAATCTTGACTTGAACCAAATGGGAGATGCTGGTTTTTAATAGTAACATGTACTGGAAAAATATGTCCTGTAAAAACAATGATCCTGATGATTCTTTTATAGAAGGAAATAGTTCTTACCATCACTATTTTATTGCCAATAGCAACCTATAATTCAAAGGCGCTGATTTGATGATTTTTTGAAGATATTTTTTAAAAAGAAAACCGACACTGCTAAATAGAACATCAGCAATATCCTTGTTTAGCTGCCCATGATGTAGACTGATTCAGATACTACCTTTGGGGCTTGGAGAGCAGGGGGCACACCCTCCCTCCCATCCAGGATCTGAAAGCAGAAGCCCCGAAGAGTATGTTGTGCTGGTCCTCTCTCCCACCCCTTCCTCCCCCGAGCAGGGTCACAGCGTCTGTGCCAGGATGGCCACTGTTTCAGCCCACCCCATTCTCTGCAAGAGAGCTTGAATCTGTCTCAAACCCGGATTCGAGATATTCTAGTTTCCTTTAACTAGACCCCCCTTTGTCTCCAAATAGTTCTGTGCTCATTACATACCTATCAGGGTCCTCTCTGACTTAAAATGCTCCACTCACATCTCCCAGAAAGAGCGCTGTCAGCTAATAAAAAGAACTTCATTAGGCTTATCAAGCACAGCAGCCCGTTTCTCAGCCTCCTGATGGAAGCTACGGTGTTCTCTAATGCTCCCTCCCCCACACCAAATGCAGTCCTGGGGGTGAGTCCTCAGCCAGATCAACGCCTTTCTGAAATCGTGAATAACCTTCATCACCATTCTGAGGACATACTTTTAAAGATTCTCCCAAACTGGATTAGTTTAGGGAACAACTTTTCTACTCATCAGGAATTAGATTAGTTTGCTTCCTTCCAGCATTGCTCACAACTTGACTAAATAAATATTATACTGATATGAGGAAATGCAAAACCACTCAGTCCGAGGAGATAGATGTCAAACAACTTTTCTGTGCTCCTTTACCAAGTTCAGTAAGTGAAGACTTGCCTGACCATAAGGACCTTTCTGTGGTGTGTTTCAGAAAGGACAATGTGATGTGTGTGATCCTGAATCTAAAGCACTGTGATACTCACTACTGACAGGTGTCTACCTCATGCTTCTCTGTCACATGTCCTCCTAATTATACTTGCTATGCTTGGTTCCTGTCACAGGTCTAAATAAAAGTTCTTTTTGCTTTATAAAGTATCATGCAACCTACCGTGGAATCTCCTTAATATTCTTCCCTGGAAACATTTTTTATGATAGTCCTTGGTTAATGTAAGTAGATTAGAAGTACATTGATTGGCACAAATGCAAATGTTATTACATTAATGAAAGGCCATAATTCTTTCTTCTTTTCCTGCACCTAAAATAACTTGTTTTAGATTGCCTGGCAATTAGCAAATCTTACACATAATTGCAGGTCAGAGGAAAATATTTACTTATCAGGCAGATAAGCATCACTTGAATCAAGAATCCACACTGGAGTCAAGATGCAGTCTGATGGACCATTTTGGAACCCTAAATCTAGTCGTAAACGGCCTGCCTTTGAAAAGTCACTCCCCAGCGAGCTCTAGTTCTGTTGCTGCCGCCTGTCTAAAGCGTCTTTGTTTTGTTTCAGCTGGCAGGGTTCGTCTACGCCTGCTATGTTGTGAAATGTATAACTGAAGAAGAGGACAGCTGTAAGTATGAAAGCTCTCTTCTGTTTCTTTCAAGTTCAAAGCATCTTCTTTACTGCCTCCTACCTAGCCTTACTGGTTCCCAGACACTATCCCCCAACACATCATTAGAACAGGCAAGAAGCCTTTGGTAGCCACAGGGCTAAAGTGTTTTCATACAAATATTCACGATGTTGAAACATTGAGGAAGGGTTCGTTTTGAAAACTTATTTCTTTTTTATGGGAAAGTACTTTTAAGATCTGTTCCTCCTGGAACAATTCCAATAGGGAATAGAGATGGGAAACTGGAGATGGAAGCGATTTCGAAATGTGGTTAACTCGAGTGTTCTCTTTTGATAAACTAGTAAGAGGTATTGATAACTAATCAGTTTTACCCAGGACCACAAACCTTAACCATCGACAATTTGCAATAGTTCCGAAAACTCTCACAAGAACTGACTTCAGATTAAGACATGAAGTTTGTCTTCAGGAAAGCAAGTGTCCCAGGCAGATGATCAGTATCTCTCTAGAATAGTGCCTCCCGGAGGGGGTCCCAGGAATGCTGGTTGCACAAGATGTACTGCTCAAAAAAGATCCCAAAGCCAAATAGGTGCGACACGGAAACTTTCGAGTGCGCATTTACACATTCACATCTTTGTGACTCCTGCAATAAAGAAGTGTATTCAATATTTCTTAATCCACAGTTTTGCTTTAACCAGATTATACTGAGTGAGGTATATTCTGGCCAAACGCACATCACATAGAGAAACCGCAAATAGTTTTGCAGTTTATTATACTCGCGGTCTCCTGGGGAGAACACTTCATGCCGCCTAGAGCCACGCAGAAAGCACCAGGGTAGGGCAAAGGCAGAGACAGAGAGCAGGACTGTGGCAAACACCATTATCATGTTTTTTTTTTCCATCTAAAGAAATGGGCAAGGTAGGCTAAGCAGGTTTAGCATTAGAAAGCAAAGTTTGAAAGTAGCATTTTATGACATTTGTGTTCACTGTGACTATTAGAGAATATGGATGGGGCTATCTAAAGTCTCCAGATGTTTTAGGTGAGCGAAGGCTTACTTGGAATCAGCTGGTGGTCATTTTGTAGATGCTAAGGCATCAATTTACAAAAATTAAAACTATAGTAATATCCCAAACATCCGAACACAGAATGCCTTTTCATTAGAAATCTTAATATTCCAGAGAAATAAAATTCCAGAATACTCATTTCAAGGAATTCTGCCCTAGGTCAAGTTTTGGCCAAAGCCAAATACCTTTGGAAGATCAGGTTTATCTTTCAAGCACCTAATAAATTATTTTCCAAAAGACTCTAAAATGAAGCTTATGTTTTAAATGTGCTTTGATCACAATACCTGATCTTCCTTTATTAATTCAACTTCTCATTGGCACATTTTATAATTTTATTCTTTTTGCTCAGTGGACAAGATATGAATTACTTTTTAATTTTTATATCCAAGTAGACTGAGGCTTACCTGAGAGTTTCACGGACTAAACAGCCTGCTGGAGACCTGTTCTCTGCCCAGTTGTGTCCATTTACTTGTGGTCATTCACACAGAGGTGACCTGTTAAGAGTGTTGACTACAATGCATTTGGTTGGTATTTCCATGTGTTGTCATAGTCTTGGTCACCTGTCTGTATGTTCATGCCTAGGCACTGCCTAGAACACATGACTTCCAATGCTCAAAGGTAAAGAAGGTTTAAATTTGCTGTCTAATTTTTAGTAATTATGTCACAAAGGAAATTATTTTGATCCTTTAAAAGTATTCTGGTTTGATGAAAGTCACACGCACACACGCACGCACGCATGCACAATCTCTCAGAAAGTCCTGGTACATGGGAAAATGCCTATGTAAACAGGGAAGGGATGGATCTCTGTGTCTGTTCTTACTGCTGTGGATTTGTAACGAGCATCCTGACAGGAGTGCTGTGCAGGAGAAGGTGCTAATTTCCACTCCTCAGAGCCTCTTGGGGAACAGAGGGCAGTCTGGGTTCTGTACCTGTGCTGAGATAACAGCCCAATTATGGCAACTGGAAGATTAAAGTATTCTTGTAATATGAAGCTGACCAGCCATGTGCTCAGTTTGACACCTCAGACCTCAGCAGCAAGTGTGTCAGGGAGCCTCAGAGGCAGAGACCTTTGGGACCCATGGAGAGGGTTCAGGCTCCAGGAGCAACGACTCAGACCTAAACATTAATAAGTAGCAGTAAATGATTATTGAACTAGAGGGAGTGAGATTGCAGTCAGGTCCCATGCCTGAGAATTTTGTTTTCACTATTCCTTCTTTTAAACAGTATCTCACTTGCTTTTCTAGAGCCCAGTTTGATTAATATTTATATAGACATTTTAATGCAAAGTCTTTCCTATGAAAGAGCCTGGACCTTGAAGTTTATTTACATCTCTTACCCTTTCATTATCTAAGCCAGAGCCCGGCCTGACAGGCAGCCTGGCTGTGCAGACTCACAGGACACCACTGCCATCTGCTGTGCCTCCCAGGAGACAGCCACCACCCTGGGAGCAGAGATGTCAGACAGGAAATGGGACACTCCTGCCCCCCCCCCATTAGTCACCTGGGGCTGCAATAGCAAAATACACAAACTGGGTGACTTAACCAACAGAATTGTATTTTTCCACAGTTCAAAAGGCTAGAAGTCCAAGATCAAGGTGTTGGCAGACTTGGTTTCTTCCAAAGCCTCTTTCCTTTACTTCCAGGTGACTGACTTCTTGTTTTGTCCTCACGTGAGCTTTCTTTGTGTACATGACCTTGGTGTCTCTTTTTCTTCTTATAAGGACACCAGACCTATTGAATTAGGGCGCCACACTTATGGGCTCATTTAACCTTAATGACCTCGGTAAGGCCTCACTTCCAAATACAATAACTTGGGAGGTAAGGGATTCAGTATATAAATGTGGGGGAGGGTGCACAATTCAGTCCATAACATCCCATATCCAAACACACACACACACACACACACACACACACACACACACACACACACACACCATGCGGCTCCTGGATATTTGAAAGTACCAATGGGGCACAGTGTTGGGCTAACTTCACTGGCCTCCCAGCCGTCTGTGGGTAAGAGGGTCCAGCTGCAAGGCTGCTGGCCTGCTGGGCTCCATGCTCATGGCCTCCAGGCAGGAGTATATGGTCAGCATCTCCTGCTGTGGGTCAGAGTGATTTACCTTCAGATGAGTAGCTCCTCACCAGAAAAAATGCTGGGACCCTGATCCAGAGAATGTGCCTTGACCCTTGAACCCTACTTGTGTGGGGCAACCATCGCGACATACTTTTATATATTTGTTCATGAAAGCAGCCGTGCGTCTTAGGGAGAAAGGCTTTTTCCAGGAAAGCAGACATCCCTTGCTGCGCTGTCTCTGTAGGGCTCCTCGCTGTGCATGCTGTTGCCAACCATGCCGAGCTTTCCTTGTGGCCTTCAGTCCTTTCTCTTCCTTCTACTTGTTCTGTTTCACAATCGTCTGTGAAAGAAGTAAACTGTTCTGAGATTCCTGGCCTGATGTCTATTGTTATATACTGTGCAGCTCTTCCCTCACTGAATCCTCAGTATGCACCCCATTCAGGTGTCTACTTGCAGTGATAGGGCTAAGAACGTACGTCTCTGCTTCGTTAGCATTCTTAGATGGAAAACATCACTAATCCAGAATGGAAAACATCCATTTAATTTCTCACATTTTATTATGTGTTTTATAAACTTTTTGCTTAATAGTCAAACTAGAACTAAACATCAATCCTCAAAAAAAATGGGTCCATTTTTCTAAGTAGACACTATCTTTTCCAAGAGAGATTTGATGTATTTGCAAGTGTTATTAAATATTCAAGTGATCTGGAGAACATTATGGAATGTCATTTTAAAAAGTATTCTGGGGGACTTATTTGGGGGACAATATCAAAAAAAAAGGCTTTATAGATTTTAAGCATATCGATGAGCACATGCGGGAACCCACCAACCAAGCACAAGTTCACAGAAACCTGTCCTGGATTCTTCAAAATCACTGGCCTTCAGATAAAAGTCACAATTGATTTATGGAATCTTTCATTTGAAAAGCAAACCACAGGAAATTATTCACTTCTCGGAGGCTAATAATTTTCTGTTATTTTTGTTTGATTTTTCTTCTAAAGCCGGCTGGCCTGCCCGTCTGTGTATTGAACTGCATTCTGTATGTTTTGATCATTTTCCATTTTGTCAAGATCACTGAGTTTGGATGCAATTCTTTGAACACAATCATACACTGTCCCACCTGTGGGGGAGGCCAGAAGGGGGAGCAGTGAAGATTACTCCACCATTAAAAAATATTTGTTGCTTCTTATTGATAAAGAATGTATGTCAACTGCAGAATGTATATAAAATACAGATATAAAAATACAGAATGTGACCCCACAATTCTAAATTGGTTCTTAGTTAAAATTTGGGCATATTACGTATCTCCTGGTCTTCCTTCATTCCTTCCTTCCTTCCTCCCATCTTTCCTTATCTATCTATCATCTGTCTATCTACCTAGTTGTTAGGGCCACACCATAAATCTGTTTGGTAACCTGAGCTTTCTTTCTTGTTATTTATAAATCACTCTACAAACATAACCTAAGAGGCAGAAAATTAGCAGTTTGAAAAAAAAAAGATGCCACCTTATTGGGTGTCAGGTTGACAGGCAGAGTTATGAGAATTATGTGTCTATTTTACTTTTTAAGTATTATATTCCAGTAGTCAAATTAAAGAGTAATATGTTATTGTTTTACCATCTCTTTATTACATGTGTTTTGGAATTCTGAAAGTGACTAAGTGAGATAATATTGTCCACATCTGCAGCCTCTGTCCCAAAATAAACCTTGCCATTGCTTTCCTCATCTCTGAACAGAATAGATGTTATCAGAACCTGGAGCCCCAAACTATAGTGGCACATGGTAGAAGGTGTCACCTTGCTCCTTCTCCAACTCCCCAAAGCACAGGAGCTCTGCATTTATTTAATTTTATGACTTCTTGTTCTGC